AATTTAACTAGCATAACTCCTTATGTACACGTTTCAGTTTGTTTGAAATTAATATAGTTCGTTTTTCTTAAGTTTGCCCCTCACTGTAAACGTCTTTTTGAACATAGCACGAGAATTGCTAGCTGAATTACTGAGAAAACTGGTTGGCGCACACTGATTTGACAAGATTTCACAGACGATCAATTTCATCAAATTTATTTACTATTTCACAGACTCGTAAATCGTATTTGCCAATACCTACAGGCCCACAGGGATAGACGATTCCTCAGGAATTATGTCTGAACTAATAAATAAATTGCACGGCGCTTAACATAACGTCAAATCGTCGGTGTTCAAAACTTATTTTTGAAAATATTATTCATATCTACAATACAATGTGCGCTAACCAGTTTTCTCAGTAATTCAGCTAGCAATTCTCGTGCTGTGTTCAAAGAGACGTTTACAGTGAGGGGCAAACTTAAGAAAAACGAACTATAGCTTCAAAAATGTTGAAGCTATAGATCTTTCAAGATTGCAATACACGTCCAATTCTGCTAAAAAAGCAGAAGTTTAGCGGCTTGTATCTCTGTAGCCCGAGGGCATATGACAAAATCCTTTGACCCTCAGAGGTTTCACCCAATAGCCAACAAGTATACCAAGTTTGAACAAAATCGCAGAGGTGGCCGATTTTGGCTGTCCCGGTTGACATGGAATGCCCCTATAATGGGGAGGTCGCAAAATTGACCTGACCTTAGGTCATTGATATCAAAATTCTGATATATACCTTTTGTACATGCTATTGCTCTTAGCAATCGCTGAAAGTTTCAAAGCGATCGGTCACTCGGTGTAGCTATGACAGACTTTGAAACTTTTTATGAGGTGAGGTCACTTCAAGTGACCTGGTGACCTGACCTTGAATGACCTTGGTCTGAAATTTTCACAACATGTGTAGTATTGATGTATGATAAGGTGTACCAAAAACGGCGGCGCTCCGCGCCGCCGTTTTTGAGATATTCGCGAAAAACCACAAGGGAGGGCGCGGGTTAAAATTATTATTGTAATTTGTAACACCACCTCTACGACGATTGACGATGCATGGTACGGCCCCGTGGACTCGAGATCGTCACTTCATCGGGCATGGGAGGCACGTCATCTTCAAAAGATTGTCAATTTATTTCACAACGCCTGTGGGAGTCGTATATGAGAGTAATTGCTATCATAAGGTCTCTGTCCCCACTGACCGGCACACAGAAGCAGTATAAGTTCCTGTTCCTAGCTGTCCTTGACCTTCTCACCTACCCATTGAATTTTTAACCTCAAACGTGAAACGAACCGGCTGTGTAACGCTGCTGCATTGCATCATAATTGTGTTATGGTAAATTTGACTTCTGAGTTACACTGTTAGCGAACTTGTTTTTAAGGCAGCGTGGGCATCAAAGGCTATTAGGTATAAGCGATATTTGACGACTACCAAACGATGTATACCGACATTATGCGTACCAACGTTCATATACGCAAGCAGGGTAACGTGCTGGGAATGGCGCCACTTTTAAATATATTATTTCAACCTATAGGCTTCGGGTCATTTGTCAACTGATGTATCGTATCATGCATAATAGCTTACCAAGGCCATTATAGTCAATTCAGCATTCTTGGTTTGGAGACCTCTCCATTTTATCATCTTTCGCACAATAAAACCATCGTTATGCCCATTTATTCATATGGCTTGATTGGGCTGAATTGTGTGCTGCCCCTGGTTGCACTGGTGTGAACGGTGAAGGACCGCCATTTATACCATTTCGCCTTCTTTCTTTCCTCGTTTCCGGTCACTCGGTGCGCTGTTTCGGCAGCAGTGCGGCCCGCTGGTCTCTCGTCCCCTGCCGATGTCCGGTGCCTGCCTGCCGTCTGTCTGGCCTCGGTGGCTGCAGGTCGGAGCGCCAGCCGCGCCGGCAGTCTGGACTATCCGTCTCTGGCCTGTCCCCTGCACTCGCCGCTGGCACCGACAGCGACCCTAGGTCACAGCTGGATTGACCCGCGGCTGCGACCGTGGCCCATGGCAACCGACCCGCCTCGAGCGGCTCTGCCACCGCCCCCTCACCGGGTGATGCCTTTAATGAGAACAATAATACAAACGGTTCAGTCTTCAATGAAGCAGGCAAGTCTTGCGACTTCATGTAGAATACAACATAAATAAATGCACAGACGACATCAAATAGTTCATGGGCTATTTTTTTTTTTTTGCTGCCTACTGGAGAAGACTCGCATAATTGAAATACCAACCTATTATTACTTTATTCAACAGCCTACACCATTTCCCAGTGGAATTACACATGTATGTAAGTAGGTACGTCTGCGATCTGAGCCGGGCTTGCCTATAACTCTGATTTTGCTTTTGGTGCACCGCCTGGTTATAGGCATAGCTTCTATAGCCCTGAATATGTATATCTTTTCCGCCCATTTCCGTCCATGGAATCAATTGCCCTCCTTTTTATTATCTTGTTTATGTCTTGGTTCTACCACTCTCCTGTCGGTGCTGGAAGGGTAAGTGGGCGACAACCAGTCTGGCTCTGCATGCTATAGTGCTATACGTATCCTTTAGCTTTGGCCCAGTCGGAGCTGGGCCGCGGCTATTGACCAATCGGAAGGTTCGTCCACTCTGGCTTTGTTGGCGGTCTCTTCATCATGAGGCCATTCAGATGGAGAGGACATGTCCGGCTGAGTGATATGGTTAGGAGAGCTCGGACTCGGCAGTGCATCCGCCTATGGAGTGGCGCGCGGGCCACCCATCGGCACCGGCGGCGGCGCGCGGCGCAGTGCGCAGCTCGGGGTGGCGCAGCGGGAGGGCCATGTATGTAAGTGCCACAGGAGGGCTATATGTATGTAAGTGCCGGAAGGTTCCGCTGCGCGTCTGGGGCCTGGGAGAGGTCGGAGCATGCATTACCGAGTTCTTCGAATTGGTAACGAGAGTCGAACAGCACTTCAAGGGCCGTGACTCAGGCAGCTGTCCTCTCAGACAGGCTTAGAGGCACACGGCGGTTTATAGGTGCCCCCTGAGCCGGTGCCGGTAGCTGGTTATTCAAGCGGAACTGAAGGCGAGGTGGCTCTCAAGGTAATGAATGCTTTTGAGAGCATGCAGCGCGGGGGCCGATATGTATGCCCCCGCGCTGCTGCTTTGCTAATCGCAGAGCTATGCTGTCTTGCGAATAGCAAAATTGAAACGGCTATTTTTTAGCTAATTTAAATTATTTTTTCCCAAGCAGGTACCTTGAACTAGAGGAGGATGGCGAAAAATATAAGAAGCAGCACTGAGTAAGGGTGCCTAATTTAAACATTATTTTATTTTTGCCACTTTGCAATCAAGTTTAATTAATACCTAAATGAAATATAACTATAACCTCGCCGATTCGTCCTTTGAAACCTTTGATGAATAAAATGAATGTTTTCCCCATACGTAGTTTTTATGCTCTATAAGTTATTTGCCGGTATGTGGAACGAGTCTTGGGGCAACAAAACATTTAAAGCTAATTGTTGTTATGTGCAATGTGATGCTAAGTGCATTTTGTTCATCCGCGGGACCGCGAGGCATACGCGCTTCGCCACTGACCTAGTTATGTATTTATTAGAAGACTACATGAGTAATGCGCCGTGTTTCATTCGTAACGAAGCATTCATGACTTCAGATAAACGAGCATGCATTTGTCTCGGATGTTTCGCTCTCCAGTGGGCGCATTGCATGGTGCATAAACGCTTTATAAACTGCATTTATGTATATACTTACCTAGCTACTCAGAAACACGATGCGTCCTTGCATTATAAAACCGCAATGCACGTGCCTGTAGCGTTGTATGATACTCAGCAGGACGTTGCCATAAAGGTTGCGCCCTTCATGCTGCCCTCGCTGAGATGCTGCGCACAGTCTAGCTGAGCAGGTTAACTGGTCCGATGCGCGATATATGTAAGTACTTATACAGTCCCTCTAACTGCCGCCGGTGCGATGGGCCGTCACGGACCGTCCAGAGGCGCCGTTAGCGTTATACATGTAGCAGCGGTACACAAACTGCCCCTCTCGGACGACCGCACAGGGTGAGTGTCGTACCCCCGGTGCACCGAGTAGCGGTCATCAGGTACGGGTACGGCCGGGACCCGAGCAGCTGACCAGCGCTCACCCAAACTTGATTCTAAGGCACAGAGCTGTGAAAATCTCGGCGCCAATCCGCAAAGCTGTATCAAGCTTGTCGATTTGTGTAATGGAATCCATTTGGCACACTGCGCTACACGGTCAACTGGGATACATTTGCGGTGCGCTGATCACAGGCCACCGGGTGCTGCCCGCTGTGACCCTCCCCGCAGCTGCCAGCCCCCACCCCCCCGCGTCCAGAACTGCTTGCCTCGACCCTCAAGAGCTGCCAGCTGCGGCACTCCGGAGCTGGCAGCTGCTACCCTCCGCAGCTGTCCGCTGCGGCCTCAACGGAGCTTCCAGCAACTACACACACCAGGCAGCTCCCTCGGGGATGCCTCCCTCCTCACCCCATGACCGCGGCCTCTGAGCGCCCATGCCGCTGCGCCGCCCCGGGCGCTGAGGGACCCCCCAGGGTCAGCGTCTGTTTTGCCCGAGTGTGCTCGACCGTGACCGGCCACTGACCCCGGTGCTCAATAACCAGTGCAGCAGGCAAAACAAGTGCCTTTTGGGGCTATCGGTTATCGGAAGGACTGGGTCAATAGTAAAAGCTCTCTGAGTCTCATCCACCAATTTTTGCGCCCTCTAATTTTGCGTTCCTCATCCCTGTTTCATTCAGTACAATCACCAGCAAATGAAGTGGAGACGAATCGCCTAATTTACTGCACGATCACATTCGTAAGCAAGCGTAGCTGTTAATGTAACCACAGCATATGAATATTTTCTGGAAATACCCATGCGACCGCTGCTAGAATTGCTTACCACCAAATGCTAACAGAGCTGTGTTATTCTGATTAACTGCACATTTTTGGGTTCCGATAGTGTTACTAGATCCTCTGACACTGGTCATTGTTTAGATACATACAGTCCATGTGCCCCGCACACTGTCACCCTGTGGCCGCTCGGCCACTCGGACATTCCTGCAGCTGTGAGTGACAGTGTGCCGCCGGCCTGGTGACCCACCGCTGTGCCTTTCTGGCCCTGAATACCCTCCCTCTCCGTCCCTCCGCCTCCCGTGCCGGCCGTCCTCCGGGGCCGACCGGCGCGAACAACACCGCCCCGCCGCGGGACACGCCGACTCCGACGCGGCCCGGCCCGTCGGCGGCGGCGGCGCGCGTCGCGCTCGACGCAGCAGTGCCGACCAACAGGTGTGGTGCGGTCGCCGGCGGCGCCAGCGGCAGTGTCGGCCCGTCGCCCCCCGACCGCAGACCGGTGACGCCGATCAGCGTCGATCGCGACGGTCCGAGCCTCGTCGACGGTGACGATCCTGAGTCGGGACGGCTGGCGTCGTCCGGAGCCGGAGTCGACGGCGACGCGGCAGGCCGTCAGAGGAGGCGACACGAACCGGGAACACATTCCAAGTAAGGAGGGCTTTGGTGGATGGTCGCTGTAGAAGGAGCAATCGTACATACATCACAGCTAGTTAGATATTATCGCGAAGCGTACCTATGTCGTATGGTCTGATTAGGCAAATGTCTTACCTCTTGCACCGGTTCAAAATTAAACGTTTTGCTACATCAGTAACGTGAATACAGGAAAAGGCGTTTCGTTTAATTTTTACTAATTATTCAACCAAGTTTTAATAATCCTAACTTCCTGATTACACTAGGATTAAACACGTACTGAAAAGTTGGATGCAGCATCGCACAGAACGTTTCAATTTTAAATTTTTGTGCATTTGACTTGCCGACTTCTAGGATGTTTTGGAATATGATAGAGCCTACCATTACGATTACCTAATTAATTATGTGATTATACAATTGTAGCTTTTGTGCGGCTTGTTACCACAGCCACTTGAGTTGCATCTCACGAAAGATGTAGAGGTGTTTTATTCACTAAAATCATTCATTTGAATCAATCTAAGTCATTTTAGCTATCATCAACCGCTGAATAAGTGTTTCAAAAAGCGAAATAGGCAACATATTTGTCAACAATCACATAATTTAAAGCCAGCATGTGTCAACGTCGGCCAAGATCATTCGCTGTGTCATCTAAGGTCAGCATCTTCTAAATTATTTGTGTTGAAAAGATTCGAAGCGGCTTGATACGTAAGCGTTGTCGGGTATCAATATTTATGTATGCTGCGAGAAAAATTGAATACTGATGCTGCAGCTACTAAAAACGAAGAACCAATTATTGATCATTGATCTAGAAATTGAGATCACCGTGTGACTTGCAGCAGTTCAAATTGGGCACCGTGGAGTGTGGACCTCCTTAATTGGAGACTACCTATAATATGCATGTTCGTTTTCACATTTATTCGGATCTCTTGATTGTTTTAAACAAATATGGGAGAGAACGAACCGTCTAGGATGCATCACGAACACCTCAATGTGTCACCGCTAAAGTGATAATGTTTGCTTTCGCGCCTTTTTCAGCATCTGATCTTTACGCCATCAAACTGAACAAATTTTAAAAATACTAGATGTCGCATTGCGACATGAATTAGCCCTTGTAAGACATTTGCATACAATTAGGACGCCCAAATTGGAGTGTCACACATGGTACCGGATTACGTTCACGTAGAAAATACATCTAATAATCCATCTCTTGCGGTACCGCTCTACCATTTAGGCAGCAGATGCATGTCACTATTTGTAAATAGTTGAGATGGATGGACGTGTCGAAAAGGGAGGCAGCGATTCGCCATTATTATTCCGCAACGAAGACAGTGTTTACATTTGCTTCACGTGCAAAGAGAGAAAATTATCAGATGTCGTTTAACTGATTTGTTAAACGTTAGTGACGATTAACAATCTGTCTCTGCTTCTCTTTGTCTCTGGCTCTGCTGTAATATGTCGTATTTTTCATATAAGATGTATTTTTTTACCTTAAAGCGCCCGGAAAGATAGGCGGTACGGGATAAAATTATTAAACCGCTCTTAGGTAGAAAAAACTTTTAAACGTCTCGTCTATCGGCTTGACGTTTAAAAGATTTGTTCTATACCTACTCGCGGTTACCGTAGACAATGTTTACAATTGCTTCACGTGCAAAGAGAGAAAATTATCAGATGTCGTTTAACTGATTTGTGTTAAATCGCTAGTGACGATTAACAAACTGTTAAACGTCTAGTAGAAATTTCTGCCATTTTACCGTCTCGTTATTTTCACCAGTATGCGCAGGGAAACGCAATGAAACATCATTTTTCTTTTCTTTTCTAGTTCTATTTTGGACTTCATCTTCAATGTATCTGTCAATTTTAGACCGATCACATTGTTTGGACCGTTTTCAAAGCTTCATCTGTCTCTGCTTCTCGTTGTCTCTGGCTCTGCTGAAATATGTTGTATTTTATATAAAAATTATTTTTTTACCTATAACTTCCGAAAGATATCGGCGGTACGGGATACAATTATTAAACCGCTCTAGGTAGAAAAATCTTTTAAACGTCTCGCCTATCGGCTCGACGTTTAAAAGATTTGTTCTACCTACTCGCGATTTAATATATATTACCACGAGTAGGTAGAACAAATCTTTTAAACGTCGAACCGACTTACGAGCGGTTTAATAATTTTATCCCGTACCGCTGATTCTTTTCGGGCGCTTAAAGGTAAAAAATACATTTTATTTAAAAATACGACACATTTAGCAGAGCCAGAGACAAAGAGAAGCAGACAGTTAAAGCTCTGAAAACGGTCCAGACAATGTGCTCGGTCTGGAATTGACAGGTTCATTGAAGCACAAGTCGCAAATACAAATAAAAAAGAAAAAGAATGTTTCATTGCGTTTCCCTGCGCATACTGGTGAAAATAACAAGACAGTCAAATGGAAGAAATGTCTACTGGACGTTTAACAATTTGTTAATCGTCACTAGACGTTTAACAAAACAGTCAAACGACATCTCTTAATTTTCTCTCTTTGCACGTGAAGCAATTGTAAACACTGTCTTCGGTGCGGGATAATAATTTTATCTTGTACCGCCGATATCTTGCAGCGCTTTAAGGTAAAAAAAAACATTTTATATAAACAATACGACATATTTCAGCAGAGACAGAGACAAAGAGAAGCAGAGACAGATGAAGCTTTAAAATACGGCTCAGATAATGCTATGTCTGAAATTGACAGGTTCATTCAAGATCAAGACCCAAATCCAACTAAAAAAGGAAAGGAAAATGATGTTTCATTGCGTTTCACTGCGCATACTGGTAAAAATAGCGAGACGGTCAAATGGCAGAAATGTCAGTTTGTTTATCGTCACTAAAGTGCGTTTATTATATATTATCCCGCACCGAAGACAGCATTTACATACAACTGCTTTACGTGCAAAAAGAGAAAATTATCAGATGTCATGTAACTGATTTGTTTAACGTCTAGACGATTAACAAATCAGTTGCATGACATCTGATAATTTTCTCTCTTTGCACGTGAAGCAATGGTAAATACTGTCTACAGTGCGGGATAATCGGAGATAATGTCTGATAATTTGGTACCTATTTCGGATAAATAAGCAACTAATTCAGCCTAAGCTAAATACCACTAAGAATTAACTTTGAACCTAATTTGACCAAATCGCACTAAATGTGACCAAATATGCCGTCATGAAAACGGCTACTGTGATGGAGCTAGGTTGCATTACTTTTCAGATATCAAAGGAATTGAATAAAATGCACCGAAAGTTTCGCCCGTCTTTTTACTAATCAGGGGGCTATAATTAAATCATTAGGGGAGGCATCAGGCAAAGAGGATCGATTGGGTCATTGTTTTAAAGTTTGTAACGGAACACGTCGTTTATAAATTGGCAAAGACAAAAATCATTATATGAAAGACTTGTCATGCAAACAGCATCACCTGTCAGAATGTCAGTGCTTTCTTTTTGCCTTTTATGGAATGACATGTGCTGTCTCTCGAAAACAAGTACCTAATTAACTACATTCATAAGCTAAAACGGCTTTTAAGCGAAAGGGGCACTGCCGAGGTGCCTTAGATTTGCCTTTCGGTGCATAATGATTGATGATGTGGTTATTCCTAGCTAGAGAGTCTAGTGAACTGCAGCTGTTACATACGGGCAAGTACAAAACCAGACAAAAAGCTTGAATCGAATTACCGTAGTCACAATAATTTACCAAATTGCGACTGTAAATTTCGGGACACTCACCCAGTTTCTCTTGCCGTAGCGCAACGCAACTTCCTCGGCAAGGTCTGATCAAACGCAGCTGAATAATGTCCGCATAACTGCCAATGCAGCTCTGAAAACCGGAACTTAGTTTCTCATATACCTACACTCATAAAACACCATTTAACTACAAAGCCGCAAGATATACCATAAAATGAATTTACTGCTGATCCTGTCCATGTTTCGACAAAATCAGAATAGAATGCCCACATTTTAGATAACTACGTGAGCTTAAATGTAAGTTCGCGCTATATTGCATTGTCCAGATGGCCGGAACATGCTATCAACATCGGATTGTCACACGCGCCATCGTTCCGGCAACATTGCGGCAATCACCGCGCCGAGTGCCCGGTAACATTGCGGCAATCACCGCGCCGAGTGCGGCCAATGCGATTACCCCCCCCCCCCTCCATCTGAGGGAGGTATGCTGTACGTACACCGTCGATCGGGGGTGGGTGGGATGCCCGTGACCCCCGCCCCGCCCCCCCCCCCAACTGGGCGGTGCATTACGGTAATGGGCCGCCAATGTAAGGACGTGTCGATTCGTCAGCGGCTACCGAGCCGACGGGAGCGCGGGAACGCGCCCCAGGCGCCCCTGACACCAGCGACTGAGTCGGAACGCGCGCGAGGCGCCCCTGGCACCAGAGGGCGACGAGAGCTCAGGAACGCGTTCGGGGCGTCCCTGACACCAGCCGAGGTCGAGAGGAACACACATGAGCACGAGCAGCCCCTGGAACTTTCAAGAGGGTCGTTCCCCACTCAAAGGCGCCTTTTCTTACTACTGAGCTATTGGTGTCGCTTTGAGCCTATACCTCAATAGCGACTGAAAGGTTTATATTCAGATAGCACCATCCGTACGTTCACCGTTCCGTGCATCTATCCTCAGGATACTGAAATCCTTCTCCTCCACGCCGCAACCCCCTTCCGGGCTGGACAGGCAACTTTATCTCATGCGGGCTGCTCCCTTGGAGCGGCACCACTGCTCCCGAGGGAGCGCACCCCGTAACCGGGTGCAGTGAGTACCTTGGGGCTGGTCGGCCTGTCCTTCGGGATGGGCTCAGCCCCGGTGACTCACTAGGGTGCCTGCCCAGACCAATGTCTCCCCCTAATTCCTAACATCCTTCCGGCTCTGAAATGGTCTAATTGGACCGAAAGGGCCTAACCCAACAAAACAAAACAAAATCTGTACGTTCAAAACCCCTCTTAAAAGGGCTTACATATGCATTCAGAGACGAAATAGCATCATATCCTAGGATAACACATCGAATGTAGGGATTTCTGTCATCTATAGATGCATTGCATAATGCATGGCTATTAGGCATTCAAAACTGTAGGCATGAACTAAATGATAAAAACTTGACAGTTGTCAGTCCACTCGTGTCCGATATCCACATGCGTACATTCAAACCTGAAGCGAGAAAAAGCACAATGGAAAACACATTTCGTGGTTGATGTAGGATTGTGGAAATGTCTGCTGCTATTTTTTTAATTTGTGTGCCCTGTGTAGTGTGTATGTATTATCCCTGCATATGAAGATTGAAATGGATGATTGTTGAACATTTTAACAACTCATATCCGAAATTAACGCAATTGTAGTTCGCCATTGTCGCACAATTAATGCCATACCCAGTCACTCGCATGGAGCTTCCGTGACACTAACAGCTAAGGCACGCTTGCACAACAGTCGATAGTTGTTTGCCGAAGCTAATTTGTCTGCGTCTTGGCGACTCACTATTCCCGATGGGCTCGTAGCGTTCCGCTATATGCGGCGATCACCGGTGTCGCTCCAAACAGGCGCGTTATTGTCCGTGAATTAGCTGCCCACTGACGTGTAATTGGATCGGTGCGTGAGTGCCCCTCGGTCAGCTGTGAAGTAGACGTTCCTCGGAGACCATTTGGGTCGATTGTTTGACCACCGCGAACACCGGATGTGTGGTACTGACCGTCCCCGTCGGACGGTTCTGTGCCTCCCCGCTCCCCGGCCCGCCTCGTAGCGCAGCGCTGCTCATTAGAGGTGGCCATTAATCGGTGCCCGACCCTGATTGCCGGTCAGTTAGCAAATCACCGTAGTGATTGCCCGGGGAGGGGGACAGGAGGGGGGCAGTCAGCCACACATGTCGCGCGGCCGGCGCCTGAGTGGCGATTGCTCAGCGCTATTGCAGCGCTGGCGTGTGACAGCGCCGAGGAAATGGAAATACCGAGGCACTTCGGACAGTCACAGTATCAACTCACCTTTCCATTGTTTCAGGTGGCCAGTGGCCGCTGCGTGCAGTGACAAGAACTCCGGAGAAGCTGCGATCGAAGAGCTGAACGTTGAAGAATCACAACTACGAACACAATAAAGCACCCTCCTCCGATCCGATTTTGTCGGATTCGTCTGGTCCTGGGCTCTACAATCATCGACTGAGGATCATCTCAATCGGCCGAAGTCTCGAGTCAGCAGTCAGCACCCACTGTCTGATAACTGCTTCCGTCAGCTGAAGATCGTCCTCGCGCTTTCAGCCAGCGGATCTCCCAGTGAGTGAGTCTGTCATTCCGTGTCGGCAAGCCGCCCGGCCAGTCGGACAGCACCGCGCCATGTCGTCCACTGAATCCACCACGCAGTTCATCCCCTGGAGCGTCAGCACGTCCAACAGCTCCCAGGTGCGCGAGGTCATCCTGGACGTGCTGGGCAAGAAGGCCGACAGTCCCAACGCCTCGCAGACCGTGGACGAGTGGGTGCGCAAGATCAACAACCAGGTGACGATCGGCGCTGACCACTCTCCTGCGGTGTCGACGCTGCTGCAGGTGCTCTACTGGACGCTGATCGTGGCCGGCATCACCATCAACCTGCTGATCTGGTTCATCTTCATCAAGAAGCCCAAGCTGCGCACGACCCGCAACGCGTTCATCGTGAACCTGTGCACCTCGGACATCCTGCTCTGCTGCATCACAATGCCGTTCACGCTCGAGTTCATCATCGAGGCCAAGTGGACGTTCGGCCTGTATCTGTGCAAGCTGATGCCGCTGATCCAGTGTAGCAACATCCTGGTCGCCACCGGGACCGTCATCATCATCGCGCTGGACCGCTACAACACCATCGTCAAGAGTCCGTGCTCGTGTCCGAAGCGTCTGCCGCCGGTGGTGTACATCTGCTGTCTGTGGCTGGTCTCGCTGGCACTCAGCTCTCCGCTCTGGATGTTCTACGAGACTGAGCAGGTGCTGTTCCCGGACGCGCGCTGGCACGGCGGCCGCACCTTCTACGTTCTCTACGAGGTGTGCAGCGAGAAGTGGCCCAACCACGCGTCCCGGCTGGCCGTCACGTTCGGCCTGCTGGTCATCCAGTACCTGGCGCCTATCGTCACGCTGGCCGTCACACACTCGCGCATCAAGGCCTTCCTGCACCAGCACATGGCCAACGGCAGCATCGGTAACCGGATCAAGACAGAGATCCAGCGGAACCGGCGCGTCACGCTGGTGCTCACTCTGATCGTGGCCGTGTACGCCGTCAGCTGGCTGCCCTACCACCTCTTCTCCGTGTCCGACGAGCTGCAGGCGGTCTGGGCCTCGTCGCGCAACTATAACCTGGTGTTCGCCATCTGCCACCTGCTGGCCATGACCAGCGCCGTCACCAACCCGGTGCTGTACGGCCTGCTCAACACCAACTTCCAGCGCGAGTGGCGCCAGCTGGTGCCGCGCGGCCTCAGCTCGCTGTGCCGCGGCTCGGAGACGCGGCGCTCCGAGCAGCCCAGCGGCGGGCCCACCAACACGGTGCCCATGCTGACCGTTCAGCGGCAGGACCAGCTGTCCTCCACGGCCGTCTCCATCCTGCCGACCACGGACCGGGCCGGCCGCCGGCGCAACGACACCCAGCTGTAAGTGTCGCCGACGTAACGGCTAACGACCAGACACCTAGCTGCAACTGCCGCCGGCGCAACGACACCCAGCTGTAGCTGCCTGCGGCCCAACGACACACAGATGTAGCTGCCGCAAGCACAACGACCAACGACTAAAGACACCCAGCTTTGACTGCCAGCGGCGCTCGATACCGACACCCGGCTGTAACTGCCGCAAACGTAACGACACGCTGCCGATAGCTGACTCCGACGTAACGTCTCGCAGCTGTAGCCGGTCGATCGGTGGTACCAGACCCAGCAAGACTGCGCTCGGACGTCTTCAAGGCAAAACAGACCCGGCAATCTACAGGTGAATAACTGCTCCCAATGCAGCCACTAAACTGTTCTAGTTCTCGCTTAGGCTTAGCATCAACCGGCGTGGCTATATGTTGTAAGCTTACATGTCAGTATGTCATTGAAGAAGTTAGTTCACTTTGACTGAAACAGCTAAGTACTCATTAATTATGTCTGAACGGATCCTGCTACTTCATAAGGAGTTGTTACTTGAATTGAATTTGTAACGACCAGGGCCTCGGCTAAGGAATTTTGACTACTGGGGCAAATCGTCAAAGTGTGTTGGCGTCCTGCTGGGGGGGGGGGGGGGGGTGAACACTAGCGGCTTTTCCTGCGGTTTTTCGCGCTTATCTCAAAAACAGCGGCGCTCCATCATCCATCAATTCTACAAGTGTTGTAAAAATTTCAGACCAAGGTCATTCAAGATCAGGTCACCAGGTCACTTCAAGTGACCTCACCTCATAAAATGTTTCAATGTATGCCGTAGCTACACCGAGTGACCGATCGCTTTGAAACTTTCAGCGATTGATAAGGGCAACAGCATGTACAAAATTTTTATCTCGGAATTCCCATATTGGTCACCTAAGGTCAGCTCAATTTTGCGACCTCAAGTCAATGGGTGAAAATTCAAAACCACCCCTTTTGGACGAAAGTTATTCTAAACACCAGGGTTGCGGAGTCGATAGTCATTTCAATGGAGTCGACTTTGACTCCGGAGTCGGTATTTTTTCGTCGACTCCGACTCCGACTCCGACTCCGGCAGACTTCGGCTGTTTTTAAATGATTCATGATGCATTTTAAATACTACACATGCCTGAGACATGTGCGTACTTGACAGATGCTATGTAGTAGTAATGCCCATTGTAAAATACGAGTAAAGACCCCCTCTCCCACCACACACGGGAATCCACCGTCACCACTGTTCTGAAACGAAACAAATTGTAGCACGATTAAGTATATTCTGAGCTCAATCGACATAGCACGTGGGTTCTCTGAGATTAGCCTCGAGCCTCGGATCTCGAGTACTACTATAAGTACATACCTACGGGCTATGACTACCAATGTCCAGTACCACAGCCTAGTACCACAGTATGGTAGGTATCTTGTATCCCGCTGCCACTTTACTGCCAGTTCGTGCGAAGGATCAGTATAGCCTCGACCAAGTCGGGTTTCATTGTCGACCGCGCGTCACTCAGGATGAACTTGAGAGCCGAAAACAGCCTTTCGACGCTCACTTGCGTGACTGGTAGTGCCGTCAAGGCACAAGCTGCATTTCGCACCTGAGACGGGAATGAAGAGCAGATAGCCTCGAACGCGTCCTTGCTTTTGACTCGGGGAAGATGTCGCACCTTCTCCAGGTCTTCACGTAGAGTCGACGTCAGCTCTGCGTCCGTCAACCGACGACGCTGTTGAAGGCGGTCCAGCGCCTGTTCCAGCTCATCTTCGCTGCTGGTGCTGCTGGCGTTGTTGCCAGTGCCGTCATTCGCTGCCCGCGCCGTCTGCTGGCTTCCTGGCTCGCCGCTGCCTTCCCCGTGGGACGTCTCGGGGCAGCGGATTTGGCTCTCACGCTCGACAATCCTGTTGAAAACCCGCTCAGCGTAGTTGAGATCAGCCTCATCAAGCAGAAGTCGGTAACGGAGGTCGACGTATACTGCCCCCAAGAACAGGTCACACTCAAAGAGCCTGCCCTGGCGTCGATCCATGGCAGCAGCGATGGCGGCAGCGAGCCTCGTGCCATTGGCCTCCAACTTACGCTTCAAGAGTTTCCACTCTTTGAGGAAGAGGCCGGGCGTCAGCTCCGCAGCCTGCAGACGTGCCATAGTAGCGGTCGGCTCGACCAGAGCATCTGCGAGGCTCTGCAGCTGCTGCCACTTATCATTGGACAGATGCAGTTGCGGGTTCGCAGCTCCCAGGTCTTCCACGACCGGACGGAGCTCCAGGAGCCTGGTCAGCATCCGACCTGTGCTGGACCAACGCGTTTCGTTGTCCAAGATAGGACTCAGCGCTCCCCTGCGCTTGATGACGGCAACCAGATGAGGCGTCCGGAGCTTCTTTACTACGGATCGTGCTCCTGCCAGGAGAGTACTGACGGACCTGCGAAATTAGAAGTGGATTCAGTTGCGTGTATTTCTTTAAACCCCAGCACGGCCAGTGGGCAGATCAGCCCCCGGATTTTTCCCCATCAACGTAAAAATTGCGCCCATAGGCCATACGTACGACCAAACCTGGCACATTTCTTCGACATTCATTGCCCACATTGTCTGAAACTTTTCACTTCAAATATGAAAAGTCAGGTCACCAGGTCACTGGCTACGTAACATCACCCTCGAACATATTTTTCGAAGCTTGACATCCCGCTAGTGCTTAATGGACATTGTTTTATTTTAAATGTGATCTAGTGATAGGTAGCTACAAATTGTATACCTAATATTTTTACATGATTAACCTAAGGTCATCTCATTTTTTCCCTGACCGCCCCGTTATAAGACATTAGTAATATATTAACACGCGCACTGGAGGGAGGGGGGCAAAATCCGCCCCCTCCAGTTTTTCGCGAATATCTCAAAAAACGGCGGCGCGCAGGCCGCAGTGCCGCTTTTTTTTGGGCATGCCTGCATGATGTCACAAAATTGGAAAATCCGAGATATAAATTTTGTAGGTATCCACCTCCGTATAGGACCCTGAAAGTTTGAAGTGATTCAGACTAAAACTGTGTCACAGCACGACTTTCAACTTCGAATCCGGTACAAAACAAAGTTTTGACTTTGACCTGACCTGGTGACCTCACCTTTGACATTAGGAGATCAACAGGTGGGGGGGGGGGGGGGGGGCGGATTTTGCCTCCCTCCAGTGCGCGTAACAAACACAGAAACAAACAGAAACAAACACATGAAAAAAACACAGGGGAGGGGGGACAAAATGCTCCCACCAACGAACGGAATGCCGCTGCTAAAAAAAAAAAAAACAGTTTAAGACGTCAGCTGCCATGGCGTCCAGCAGGATATGCCGATTAATAGGTAATCGTAAAATAAAAGCACACAAATCAATGAACATTTCTTCAAGACTTATTTATAAAAATAAAGTATAGAAAGTGGCACTTACTTGATGCCGTCTCGGACTGCCAGTTGCAGAGTATGGGCAGCACACCTCATGTGGCTGGCTGTTGGCGGCGCAGCACTGACGGCAGCCCTGAGGTCCGGCATGTCTCCGTCTGCTGCGTCTCCGTCTTCGTCGTGCGCGTGTGCGGCGTCGCCGTCTTCGTCTTCTGATTCTCCATCGGGCGCGTCTTCATCGGGCTCGTCAGGACTGTCTTCGTTTGGCGCCAGGCTGGTACCCGTCCCTGCTTCCCTTTCGCCACTTTCTTGGTTAAAAAGAGACACCGTTTTTATCATGTTTGCGGCGTTGTCAGACACAATCGCGAATATCTGGTCATGAGATATTTCAAAATCCAACATTATCTGAACCAGCATGTCCTTTGTGTGCTGACCGGAATGGATCCCATCGCAGTCGCGCACTGCCAGCGTACGAACTTGAATTCCTCCACCCGAATCGGATGGTTTGGAAAACTGCACGTTTACTCCGAGGTAAGAACGGTTGTGTCGAGTGCAGCCGTCTATTTTCATGAATAAGGCGCGGCCGCGTAATTCTTCCTTGATCACATTTCGCCTTTTTTTCGGCAGCACTCATGATCGCATCACGAATTGAATCCCTGTCCAAACTGAACTTCACTTTGGACGCCATGTCCCCAATCAAATTACGCATGGCCTCGCTGCCTAGAGTGGTCAGCGACACTCCTCCTCGCACAACTAGATCCACTATATTTTTTTTCAGTTCCTCGGCGGAAATCGCGCCGGCACTATAAAAGTCAGTGATCTTCGACATCTTCGTCGCTGTGGTGGCCCGTAAGCCAAAATACCAGAACCAGACATCTTCGACTTCAGCGTCGGCTCAGTACGTGACTTCTTAGTTTGTTCGTCTTCTTCAGTAACTTTTTTAAAGGCGTCCGGGTGGGATCGCTTCAGATGTCGTTTTAAGTTCGAACATACGTTCTTTTTCTGTCCGAAATCTCGTATTTTCACTCCACAGTCATTCACTTTGCATGCAAATCCTGAATCTGTGCATTCGAAAAGATTGTACACCCCACTTATTTTTGACATCTTTCTCGAGTAAAACCCCAAAACAATGCAAAAAACAGACGCCTGTCAGTAACGTCCTTCCCCGGCCGCCGCTACACTATTGCTGCAGACGCCCACCCCGGCCGGCAGGCCGTCAGCCGACGAATTCGTGTCGCTGCGTGCAGTTGCTAGGCAACGTGGCTGCCGCGCGTGGCGCATAGTTAAAATTCTCCCGTCAGCCGAACGCCTGCTCGGAGTCGGAGTCGGTTGATTTTTATCGACTCCGACTCCGACTCCGACTCCGGCAAAAATAACCGACTCCGTCGACTCCGACTCCCGACTCCGACTCCGACTCCGCAGCCCTGCTAAACACTATAAAACACTGTACGTGACTTTGACACACTGAACATGAAAATAGCACCCGTGACCCTTGTCATCTGTTATTCTGTTATCTTGTTATTCTAAACACCCATGCCCCTGAGGTCATCTCAGTTCACGAATGGTATCTAACAGTTTTTCGCGAGTAACTTTTGAAAGAGGCATGCTAGAGCGATGAAAATGCCTTAGTTGTGTTTGGCTCGACGATGCAGATCGACTGATATGCAACATGACAATTTCCGGTCAGATCATGACCTTGACCTGAGGTCGAATTTTCAAGCTGACCTTCAAGGTCAAATTGTAGTTAATTTGATGCGTCTTGACGAGAGGAACACGATGTCGGTAAAAGAAAGCTCGTGCAAGGCATGAGTCAAAAATTATTGCAGAAAAACTGTTCCCGAAAAAATCGTCTATTTTGGTAGTTTTTGCCCCTTGCAGGCAAAACCGTTGACGTTAGGTGAAATCTAGGAGAAACAACCAGAAAGCATGCTAATATGGCTATCAAATGCGCTTTTCAGCGGTGCTGTAGCTCTAATTGGTTCCCGAGTTATGCGTCGGCATCTTGTAAACTGTCGATATTCGACCTGAAAATCGGCGAAATTTGACCTTCACCATGACCTGACCTTTGACCTGACCAAAAGAGTGGCCGAAGTAATTTCGTCATTATTTTTGACGCTCTTTCGAAAGAAGATGGATTTTGGGGTGCAAAAAGATGTTTTCCAATGCACGCCTATGTTTTTGGATGGAAATTGAGGGCGCAGCTGCACACCGTGCAC